GGAGTCCAGTGGTCTGAGAGCTGGGATCGCTTCCAGCTCTGCCACAGGGGCTTGCTGTACAGCCCAGACAAATCTCTTCCTCTCTTTACCACCCGCTCCTGTCTGCGGCACAGACACTGCTATTAATGCACCTACCGGGGGGCTGTGCAGAGCCATGTGCTCATAATCCTAAAGTACTTTGCAGCTCAAAGATAAACACGTCGTCGCTGGTTGGCACCTAGCGGGCAGGAGGACAAGGCTGCCTTGCCAGCAGGACTGACAGCTCCCCCAGGGCTTCCCCCAGGAGAGGAGGGTGCCCACGAGGCTGGCCAGGCAGCAGGCACAGCACACAGGAGCCACTTCCCAGCCCTCTGGCTGACGTTGGTTCGCTCCATCAGCTGACCCTGGCCACTAACCACCAGTCTGACAGGTGGCCAACTGGCTCACGAGGGAGAAATCTTCCAGCAGCGGCTCTCTGGGGCTCAGCCTGATCGCCCGCACGGTGGCTTTGACTGAAATCTATCAGCTGGAGGCCTCCACCTTTGGGATCTAAATCCCAAGCCACTGACACACAAAAACGCTGCTTCCTCCCACCCAGGGAGCACAGCCCCATCCCTGCTGCCAAGCACGGAGCTCAGGCAGACCCAGGTACTCCCCACCGTGTGCGTGTCAGGGGGCCACAGGGAAAAACACGTTCCCTGGAAGCTCCATTTCAACCTCAGTGGAAGACACTCTGGTTTGGTGGCCTCTCTGCTGACCAGTACCTTAAACTCAACAACGGTAGAGACGACATAGAGCCTCCTGGGTGGATGGAGAAGGCGAGGGGAGGAGGATGAACAATACCAGACCTGCTTTGTTCTCTAGGTGCCTTCATACGGGGCGTAGCCTCCAGCCTGGCCTTTCAGAGAGCGGCGTCACATCACCCAGCCACTCGCACAGACACAAGCGGTCACGGGCAATGCCACCCTCCCAACGGCCAAGCCCTCTGAGGTCCTCCCAGCCCTCCTGGTGCCAGCACAGGCACTGAGCAGGGCCCAGGCTAAACGCTGGGAAGGCAGAGCCGTAAAGTAGTGCCCTCCTCCTGCGCTTAATGACTCAGGCTCCGGGGAGAGGAGATGCCTCCTCACTCCTCGGACATCTCAGCCAGCTCCACGGAGGCCCTGCCAAGGCCCCTTTGCTGTCCCTACGCACGCTGATACCCCCAGGCATCCAACCACCACTCCGCCTTCCCCATCTGTCTTTAGCTGGTGGGTCCCCCCAGCCCTTCTCCCCAGGAGCAACTCGGCCATACAAAGAGCAGCCGATCCCCAGCCCGGTTCCCTTCAAGCAGCACGTGGTACCTTTGGGCTGGGAGTTGTACACTGCAAACATGTTGATGGCCACAAGCTGGAGCATTCGGGTGCTTCCGATGGGAGGGGGGCTGTGCTGCAGCAGGACCTGGAACTCCCTCAGGACCTCCTCGGCCACCGCAGGGAAAGTCTCCATCCTGCAGACAGAGAGAGAGTCTGTAGAGCGCAGGCGACAGCCCCGGGGCGCAGGGCGGTCAGTCGGCACAGCTCACTCAGTGTCACATCTCCCAGGGAAGAGGGACTACCCCCTGGGGTGCTGTCTCCTGTCCAGGAGCCGTGGGGGAACGAAGGTGCAGGCTGCAACAGAAGCAGCTGAAGCCTTCCTTAGAGAGGGTAGCGAGGGATTGCTCTGTGACCGACAGGCAGCATTCCTTTGGCAGGAAAACACGGCCTTTATGAGTCATTTCTGACCAACCATTTTTTTCTACTGACTTCTACCAATCTGGGAGGGGTGCCAAGAGGCCAGCAGCTCACTTGGACCAGGAGCAGCCCATGGGACTCCCGAGAAACCCAGGCTGCAGCAAACGGCACACACTGGTGCCACATTGCGGATGTGGCAATTCCAGTGCACTGAACGTTAGCCAGAGCGTGCTTCCTCCAGAAAACCCAGCCTCTCCCTGGGCTCCTCACTGCAGGATCAGATCCCATGGCACCGAGCCCCAACCCCCCCAGGCTACACACTCCCCAGCGCTGTGATTGAGCCCCTAAACTTCATCACTTAGAGCCCCACAGGACAAGGACTCGCAGATTAACGACCGGCCTCGTCTAGCTGCTGGAAACGCCAAAGCTGGAGCTGTTCCCCGCAGCACACAGAGCTGCTGTCGCTCATCAGGACACAGCAGCCAGCGGCTGCAGGGCCACGGCTGGGGATGGGGTGCGCTTTCAACACCGCTCACCAGCCGCCCATGGAAATCTGACACATTTATCCTACTCTTCATCTGGCATCGCTAAGGGAATGAGCTGAGGTTACTTATCAGAGCTGTGGGATGCTCAGCAACCTCCCAGCTGAAGCGGGGTCAAAAACTGTACTGATGGCAAAGAAGAGCACAGCCAGTTCACAAAAATGACTGGGACATGGTTGCCCACAACAACCCTCCCAAAAAGAGTCCTCACTTGGCATCCCATGAAGACAACTTTATAACCAAGAAGCTACCAAAAACCTTGGCAACTACTGGGGGGCGTGGAGGGCGGGGGAAGATCCTCCTGCCCCGTTGCCTGTTCTTGCTGTGTTACTTCTTGCTCCTACGCTAGGAAAAGCAACAGCTAGACCCAGCGAAAACGAGTATCAGTCTCACAGCAAGCGTCCACTCCAGCTATCGCTGACATTGTCCTAGTGTGGCCACACCGGGGCGAGGGAGCCAAAATCCGCAGTGGGTAAGGCATCTGGAGCAGGCAACCTCAGCAGCCTCCATAGCAATTTCCTCTATCTTCCCCTGAGAGATACAGATCTGGTGATATCAGCACGCTACAGGCTGGATTAGCAAGCCACTTCTGGTAACCCGCATGGGCAATTCTGCTGGGCTTCCCCAACAGACTTTCAGGACAGTAAGAGGCTCTATTTTTAAGACAGAAATGGCTTTCTTCTTAATCATGTTGCCCAGATGCCTTTCACCAACCAGTTCTGCCTAGCAGCAGGGGTACCCTGTCCCCGGGCACCGTTTGCTGGAGCAGTTCAAAGTCTCTGTTACCTTCCCACAAACATGGGCTATAACAAACAGGCCCCTTGTACTTCGTAGCTGTGCAGAATGGAGCAGCTCCACCGGTACAAAAGCACTGCTCCCCCTGGAAGAGGCAACTTTCCTGGATTTGGGGTGCAGCCAGGGAACTGGAGCAAACTGATTGCTTCTAAAGACTTCCTAATTTTGAGAAATCTCAGACCACATCCAGCATATCCAGCAACATCCTCCTAGGGCAGAGAGGACACCGGGGACGGAGGAGCCCTTGGCAGGATGGGCTGTTAGTGAGGAGATGAAGACTATTGCCATGGAATAACAACGAGAAGGAGCAAGGGCTTCCTTCAGCCTCGCCAGCTGTGCTTTGATACCGCAGCACATCTGGAAAGGCATGCAGTAACCCCACTGAGCTCAGAACCAGCAGGTCAGGAGCAGAGCGGAAGCTTTTAATAAATTGCTTACCTGTGGTTTTAGGGGCAAAAGAGTCCAATTAGGGCAACATCATCTTTTCCGTACTTTTTACAGATAAATCACTGAAGATCCTGCCCGAAGAGGACTCAACTATTCCTCACCTTTTACCTATTTTAAGTGCAGAAGCTGTTTAGCAGGGCTGGACGATTTTCTCTTCCTGTGTCATGGTATTACTTTCTAGTTCTAAGAACTTTGGAGGATATTCTGCTATTAAACATACTTGGGTTTTCTAAATGACTATCCTGGGAAGCAACTGCCTCAAACGCTGCATCTTAATTTCACAAAAGTCTCAGGAGCCAAATGTGCAAGCAATCTCTGCAACATCCCCATTAATCGCCTTGCTGGCATGTGTTCAACCAGAGTTTGGCTGCGAGCACAGCCCCACAGAGCCGAGGACCAGCAGCTCCCCGGATGCTCTGCCCTCCAGCACAGACATGCTGCCGTTACCAAACCTTTCAGGGGGCTCTTGCAGCTTTCCTCCTCTTTTCCTGTGGGCAGGAGGACATCCAGTTGTGCCTCCTCACTGCAGGCCAGCCTGCTGCCTGTGAGCAGATAAGCAGTGCCCTGTAACTCAGGGAGAGATCAACAGCACGGGCAGGGAGCAGATTGCTCTCCCCCTCGCCCTCAGACACTGGGATCTCCCACAAATTGGCCAGCACAGCTCCTACTTCCCATTGCTTTATGAAGGCTCCAAAGTCAAGCACATGCCACATCCTGACATTGGACGGAGCAAACGCCAAGGTTTCGGGCTGTGTGGCAGGATTAGTGCTGTGTCCTGCACTACTGTGACTCCCTGCTCCAGGAGAGAAAGGGGACAGGCCCAGAGGCAGAGAACTGTATGTGTAAGTCAAAAACAGCAGCAGGTACAAGCTGCCCCTTTGCATCCACACTACCTTTAGCTAAGTGGTCTGGAAAAGGTCTCTCAGCCCCGTAACTTGCAGTCAACAGTTCCACAAGTGACTGAAGGAGCCAATGGAGCTCATGAGGCCACATCTGCTTACGAGGCACTGGCAGGCTCGAGCAGAGACCACCATTGCCAGAGACTGTCTGGACCCACGCAAGGTCCCTCTGCACCAGCTGTCCCCATACAGCCGCCCCATTCCCTGACAGCAAGGGCCAGTCCAGTCCTGGAGCAGGGACAGCTCCATGGGAAGCCCATCAGCTGTGAGGCTGAGCTCTGCTCTCTGGGTCATTAAGATGTCCCCCAGGCTGGGATCTCAGCCCAGGCCTGAATCAGGCTTGCTTTGCTTCAAGGGGAGCTGTTCAATTACTTGAAACCAGTTCCTGACAGCCATTGCCAAGGGCACTTTGTACAAACCAGTTCCCGCAGCCAGGGCAGCTCTCAGCTACGAGGCTTTCACCGAAATGGCAGCGAGGAGATGAAGGGCAAGGCTTGCCTTGACACGCTCCGGACGGCAGCTTTCAGCTACTACATCGTTCTGCCTCGATGGCTTTGTGCTTCTCGCAGGCAGCAGCCACTGAGAGCCCCCCAGAGCCACCTCTCTGCTGGCTAAAAGCAGGGAGGAACGGAAGAGAGGGGTTAAACCCAGAAATCAAAGAGGAAGGAGAACAGTTAGGTGGATGGGAGAGAGAAAAAACAGCCTCTAGTCCCTCCTGTGTGCACATAAGCCACCAGAGCTCTGCCTCCACCAGAGGGTACCAGTGCACGGGCAGAACTGGGCCTTGAGGTGGGGTAAGAAAAAGCCCAAACAATAACCAGTGCAGATCAGAGGGCGGGTAAGGAGAATAAGAACCAGGAGGCTAGGCCTGCAAGAATTCACACCCTGTGCCCTCAGCTCCAAACACAGCTTAGTTGCTAACAATATTAAATTCCAAAAAGACTTGTAATGTAGGAAAATAAAATAAACATCCTGCACACTTACCCAATCCTGGTAAACAGCTTCCCATGGGCATGGAGAAAACTGAGGATGAACCTTTTGTTCAGCTGCATGGGAAAAAAAAAAAAAAAAAAAAAAAAAGAGAGAGAGGAGAAAACAATTAAACTCTCTCCTATTTCCTGTGAATTAAGAATGTCCCCAGTGACAGAAGAACCTGGCCTGGATGCTGGGGGTGGCACTGAAGATGGGAACCAAATGGACATGCCCAAACTCTTACAAACATCATGCACACAGGCACAGGCAAGTGCCAAACAGCTGGAGCTGGAGCGGGGAGAGGCGGTGGAGACACAGCACCCTCTGCCGGGTCCCGCGCTCCCGCGCAGGGCTGCCTGCCCGCAGGGCACCCGCACCCCGGGCACCCACGGCCGAAGGTCTCCTCCTCCGCACCCCATAAGCTCGAAGCACAGCGCAGCCCAAGGGGTTATACAAAAGGAGCCCCCCCCCAAGGCAGCGTTTCCCAGTAGTGTTTCCCACCAGTGGAAGAAAACACAAACAAACAAAAAACACCCAAATGAAACAAAAACAACCAACAGAAGCAACTTGTTCAGTGCTCCGCGACTGCAGCAGAGGCTGAGCAGCCACTGGTCAACGCAGAGAAGGAACGGGATGTCCTCACCAACGCTTTCCTGCGGAGAAGCCAACACGGCAAGTTCAGCAGCAAAGCTGTGAGCGCTTGTTCGTGTGCCCTGCCAGGAGCAGCTTTCGGAAGCAAGGGGGTATTGGGGTGATGCTGCACCCCTTCTTTTAACTCCAGCCTGAGGCAATTGCGGAGAGGGAGCTGGTGTTCAGATGTATCAGAAAAGCCTCTGAAAACCTGCAGTACCAGTGCTGCTACTGAGCTACCAGAGCAACGGGGAGCTAAGGGGATACAGGGGCAGCTGGCTGCAGCACACAGCGTGAAGACAGCTTCCTGCCCTGCTTAGGTCCAGTAACGCCAAAACCTGACTTGAACGATTACTTGCTACTGCTCTAAGCCACCTCTGCTAGCTCAGCAGAGCTCTGGGCTTCCCCGCTCCTTATCTAAATAGCTTTGAAGAAGGCTGTGGGTGAGTAAGTAGTCACTGCCCGGCTCTGGAGGTGGCTGTGTCACACTAGGAGTGGACTGGCCTCGCTCTTACCTTCTCCACAGCAAGAGGCTTTCCTCTCGCGCCTGCACAGCCTCAGCGCGGTGAGAAAAGCCAGGCTCCGAGCACCGCGCGGGGAGACGCTGACCAGGAACGACCCAGAGCACCACCGCTCTGCTCCCGCGCGCACGAGATCTTTATATCTTGAACCCCTCTACAAAGGTCAGCGACGCCACTTCCATTTCCAAGGGGGATCAGACACGCAGAGGGAGGACGAGGTTACCAGGCAGGGCCGCGGCAATGCCTGACCAGGTGCACGTGAGAAGGTGCAAGGCGGCCACCGGCCGGTGCCTCCTGGCAGCACCGAGCTCCCCGCCGGGCCTGGCTGCAGGGGACAGTGATCACAAGCAGCCCTAGCTCTGGAACTACCTCCCACCCTCGTTTGCTGAACCCCTCGGCTCACACCGTGACTTATGCCAGCTGCTGCGCGAGGTGCGATTGCTCGGTTCGGTGTAATTAACCCGGGCTGCATTCCCGGAGGATCCATGCAGGAGAATGATGCCCTGCTGCAGAGTCGCTCCTGGGCCATGTGCGAGTTTCAACATAAAACCTGTCTCATAAAACAAGCCAGACCAATTAAACTGGCCCCCGCAGCAAGGGGTTCTTGCTTACTCACTATTTTACTGCTGCCCTAAAGAGCCCTTTCCACTGGAACTTGACTTTATTTGCCACCATTTTATTAACTCTGCAGATGAAACCCAGAAGAGACTGGGGAATACTGGGACAGCACAGCAAAGCCCGTACTTGCTTTGCCAGCAAAGTTGGGATATAGCTGCTTCTCCGCCCTCCTCCTTAGGACACCAAGGTAGCTCAGAGCTTGAAACCTTTCGCGCGTACTTTTTTTTCCAGGCAACAGCTTGTGGAGGCTGCAGTCACATACCCTGACAGAGACACGGCCTAGCCAGTCTGAGCCCTCAGCTCAGGTGCAAGAGCATCGGTGGGGTGCTGGGCAGTGCTCTGACCCACAGCGAGCCCATGTGCTGCTGCAGCCTGCAAGAGCTGAAGGAGGGGGTCCGTGCTCTGTGCTCTTTGATGGAAAAGAGCAGGAGCTCGCGGCCTGATCCATCTGCACTGGAAAGCCTGTCACAATGCTGATCAACAGACTTCACATAAGGGAAAGAAGAAATTGGGGCAGAATTTTTTCTCCAAGGCCCACATTCACCCGCAGCCCCGGGAGCGCTCACCCTGCAATCCCCGTACGCCTTTCCTGGCAGCGGGGGAGTACCGTTAAACTTCCCCACCTTGAATAGAAAGTGACGCCCACGCTCAGCAGGGACGTGCCCACAGCGTTCCCACAGAGCTCCGGGAGGGCTCGCCAGGACCTCGGCTTCACCCCCATCTTCTCAGAGCAAATTTCATGCTCAGCCTTTTCACTTGCAATCCCAAGGACTAACCAGTTACACTCCACAGGAACCAGTGCTGAACTGGGGCTCCGATACGTGCACGTATATACGTCTGGAATTGTTTTTCAAGGGAAGCAGGTTACCTGCCTCTAGGAAAGCAGTATGTTTCATACCTCTTGCCAACTTAAGCACGAACACAGCAAGCCCAGGCAGAGACCTGTGTGCCCCAGCACTGTGGCATCTCAAGCAGGCACCTCTCGTGCTTCTTTCATTACTTTTTGTTTCACTGCCTCAAGGTTTTGATGAGCTCATCACTTAACTTTGGACCTTTCATCTCCGAGTTCACACTAAGGCCATGGGCTGCTTTGACTGGGCTTTTCTCTGAATGACTCTTTCTCTAGTGACTCACCTGTCCCTCAGTCTCCGGGAGCCCTCCCTGCTCCTCCCATCAAACGTTACTTCTCACGGTGAGAGAGAAACAGCGACTTCCACAGTCACCTGCTGTTCTGCATTCACACAGCAGAGAGGAAGACTTCCCCAAAAGCGCGCTCGCTACCCTGACAGTGCTAGCATGAGACCTGCAACAACTCCTTGCCTTCATCTCACTCACTGTGCAGTCCAAGGGTGGCCACCTCCAAAGGTTCCCTGAAAACGGCCCTTGTAGCGCTGTCAGGGGAAGACAGGGCTCCCTGCGCGCTAACATTGCTGCCCCTCGCAGGCAGCTTGGCTCCTTGGGACGGGGAACCAAATCTGGCTGGTCCCACTTGGTTGCTTGGGAAGAGTCCACCAAGCAAGGCTTATTCAACAATGAAACTATGTCAAAAAATGGATTTTGGCCCTTCCCGTTGAAAAACGGGCATCACAGATAGTGAAGTTATGAGCATATAGTGAAGGCATTAGTTATAAAAACAAACCAGCTGTCAAGAAGAAGAAGGGGTCCCTGCACACAGTAGTGCCTGAAGCTGAAAACAGCTGTTTCGGCTGTCATGAGTCAGCATGTGCAGACAGACTAAATCCACCTGGGAAGAGGCAACCTCACCAGAGGAACCAGCCCACTGCTGCTTGGGGAGCATTCACACACCGCACCGCCAACCAAACTGGATTTGTTACCATGGAAGAAATCAACAGTGACTAACAACTTCTCGCGGAGCAGCTAAGTGCAGAGATAGCAACAGTCCTGGAACAGCCAGCCCAAACCACCAAGAGGCCACGAGGAGTACGTCCTGACAACACGCAGACCAGAGGCGGTCAGACAGCTTCAGGAAAGGTTTGTCATGTCCTGAGCCAGAAAAGAAAAAAAGCAAGACCCAACCTCAAGAGACCGTGCACTGACCAAAACGGGTTTGAGAACAGTGTCTCCCACCCCAGCACAGAAACACTGGAAATGCCACCGGGGTGCGCAGGAAAAGGAGTGCCACAATCCAGGCCGGGAAGCAGCGCTGCTGTGCTTGAACCCAGCACGGACCCATTTGGCTCACAGCGAGGAGTGCACAGAGCTTTGGCACCTGAGCATCAGGCCCAGCTGTGAAGGAGGCACCAAATAAGGGAAGGATTCTGGAGCAGCGACTCCTGGGGAAAAAGCATTTCAAGTTAAAAATTGTTACTTCAGGTTTGGAAGTAAATTTCAGGATCTGGTCTTTATCAAATGAGGCAAACTTTCTTCAACATCAGCAAAGCATCTGCGGAGCAGAAAGCGGTGTCAAAGTCAAAATAGGCTGCAAAAGACAAGTCCATTAATCAAGAGACCAGATGCAAAACTGCCTGTAACAAACGCGCTGTCTCCACCGGAGTGGAAGGGACTGGAGCACAGCAGGACGTTCTCCTGAGTCTAGGGGTCTCCTCAGTGACAAGGGGTTGGGATACAGACCACAGAGCCACACAGCTCTGCTCCAAAACACGTACCACACTCATCCCAAATATTTTCAGGGTTTCTTGGGCAGCCAGGCTTTTCCAGGCGCAGATTCCTTGCTGAGAACTGTATGAAATAACGTTCAGACACCCAAACCGTGCCATATTCTCACTCCCAGCTCAAGGGCCAGATATACCACATTAACTATTAAGATTATTCCTCTCTTCTGCAGGCAGCTCCTTCAGAGCTTTACACCACCCCACCCAGCAACAGCACTGAGCCCACCACCTCCCCTGGAGATGGCTTTACAAATACGAGCCTGAGCCTTCACCCCACGCCATCCCAAAGTTGCAAGGCACAGCTCTGGCTGATGTTTTCCATGGCAGTATCTCACCGAAATAACACCGAGCACCGATACAGAGCTTCCGGAAAAACCCAAGATGCTGCAGCAGGCTCGACTGGCAAGACACCAGGAGGAGGTTTTTACTGTTACAGGTGCAATTGCAACAAAGTGCTGGTGGAAAGCGCTTTGTGCCAATGGCTACCGACATAAAGGAGACGAGACAAAAGGGCTATTAAGGTTGTCTGGCATTTTTGCAGTATTTACAAGGTACCCACAGAGCTGTGGGCAAATTCCAGCTGGGCTAATCACCATAATCATTCCCCTCTTCATATACCACCTGCAACCACAAATGGATACCGAGCTCGCCTTGGCTTCTTCTGGCCACATG